TTTCATGCCATTATTACAAAAATCCACACAAAATCAGATAATATGTAAATACACTACACAAACTCTAAAATAAATACATACACGGTGCAAAATACGTATGTACACTTACAATTAGTTAGTCACTCACGATACATAAAATTATTTTAAACTCGGCGTTCTACCTTTCACCCGCTCTCATCGAGCTAATGTAAAATACTACGGAATCGTCGCTTCGATATATGGCTAAATTATATCTAGTCGTTCCTGCACCCGCACGAGAGTGGTGTGCTAAAGTCCCAGTGCGCGTTACTAGGCACGGTTAGTGAAGTACTTATGCACGGGCAAGAATTACGAGCGTACATAATTTACAAGGCGTTTAAAAAAATACGATTTATACTTTAATTAATAGAGTTGTATAGTGCCGGCCCTGCGTTGTAGCACACTTTTCGGACCCTAATTATTGGCTAAAGCGCACTGATGAGACCTAATAAGGGCGAAATCCGGATCTTCGACTTCTAACGACGAGTAACAATGAACGATAATATTATTTTCATTCAAAATGTTTCTCAGCAAATAATAACAAACTCGTTGTGAGATACTATTCGGTAATTGAGATGGTAACAGAACTCTACAATTATAATTAGAGAATTATAGACTGAGTGAGCAAAGAGCCGAGTGCAATGCGCTTACTTTTTGCATACTCACTACAGATTGATTGACGTATGAAAAGATGGATTCTGATGGAGAGTTGGGAGCCTCTCCCGCAACGGTCAACGTATTTACTTATATTTAAAATATCGGTCGGTGAGGGCTTTGAAAACAGCTCACCGGCCCGAATAACTACATACAGTCATGGGCAAAAGTTTGCATACACTGAACTATTTTAAATTAAACCCTCAAAAACACAAATAAAAAAAAGACCAAAAAAAGAGAATCTTAATGCATTTATAGTGTCTACTATTACAAATTAGGGTAGACAGAATTACAATCCAACTATTTTTTAGTTGTGCTTTAAGTGTCTTAGCTTATGACCATGCTTGCGACCTAATGGCTGCGATATAAAAGGCTTTTTTCAGACTTAATATTAAATGTATTTCTTTTCCTTGCCTTCTTTTTTTCATTATTCTTGAGTTAGTTTCATTTTTCCTTTAATGTCCTCATTTGAAAATATTTTTTTTAACTTCACATTTGACAGTTGTGGCCAGCTTTGAATTTCATTAATGAATATAGGTGAACATGTTCACTTCCCTGAATTTGTTGTGTTAATAGAAACAATTGTTGTGTAGTAATGTTGTGTAGCAATATCAACACATGTCTATTACAGCGGTCAACACAAAATTTGAGTTTAGGTTCTGCATATCTGAATCTTACATCTTGCATGTTACTAATTAGAGACAAAATAGTTTTATCGAAAAAGTTTGCTTTTGCCGCAATTAGAATGAAATTATGGATTTTAAGAAGTTTCCTATTTTCAGAACATAATTGTACGTAAAAATAAATCAAGCTTTTGCTATAGATTTGAATCACAATTTATTAATAAAAGTAAAAAACTGCTACTGTAACAGATTTAAGAACATGAATGTAAGAACATTTCAAACAGTTTAGAAATGCATATATTTGGAATTTCTTCGTGATCTCGAATTATTCGCTGTCATAGCTGCTGCTAGAAGTCTGTGATGCAGACACTTGGAAATTTATCAGTACCAGACAAGGAGGTACAAGACAATTTCGGACCCTGCAGCAGACACTGATGAAAGATTTGAATAAAAAATATTTTTGGAATTTTTGCCGGCCTAGCGCTTACTTGGATTAACTATACAAAAATATTAGCTTTGACTGTGATCCCGTTTCCTCCATATTATTGGCATTCGTTTGACATTTTTTTTCTACCCGATACCGGACTAAAAATAAAAAATATGCATCTTAAGTAATGAAAAAATGGTGAAAACATAATTCAGAATTGCTAAAAAGTTGTATTGTGATTACATAAGTATATATTTACCTTCTAACTTGTTTCTACAATTATTACACGAGAAATGAGACGCCCAGTTGTCTTGATTTCAAAATGCAGCTTAAAATAAGCTTCATACACTTCACAAACATTTAAGTTTGTACCTAAAGCGAATTTTTTGAGTCCGAGTTTGATAAATGCACCTACACTATTGCAGAATGACTCTATAACTAACTCACTATAAAATATAATATTTCCCAATCATTGTAAAAATGACAAAATCAAACTCTTTTAAAAATAGACGACCATTCTGGTTATTTTTTGACTTCAGTCAGAATAATGTCATTAAAATACAGACTCAAATCAAAAAAATTTCTTTTGTTGACCGGTGTTGTAGATGCTATTTATTACAACCTGAACGCATAAGCAAAGAAACAATTTTTTTGTTGCCGCGTCTCAAAAACGCAGCTCAAAACATTTTTAAAACCAGTCGCTGTCGCAGATCGCAAATATGGCCACCTTTTATAAAGAATAGCGTATTACATTACTGCGACTTGATGTCTTGATAGCCCTGCGCTTATTTAAAATAGTTCACTGTGTACAAACTTTTATCCACGACTGTACTTGCATGTACATGCTCGATGTTCTCGGACGGCTTTGATTGCGGCGTATACTACATACGCTCGCTGAATATATTCATGCTTATGGCCTTTATAACTATTTCCCTATTCTATATTCAATTACCGCATATATCGTTGGTCAGCCATCGGATCATTTCGAGCATTCTCATGGAGCAGACATAAACAGCCACCTGCGACGATTTAGAATAAATATTATGTCGATGTACAAAGTAGAATATTTTTTGGTACCCACTTGAGAAATTAGAGTAATGGTATGAAAATACAGTGTGATCCATGATGTTCGAAACATTGAGTCGGTGCCAAAGTTATGCTTTGGTATGGGACGGACAGAACGGGCAAGATGGATAGAGTGTGCACAAAGAATAATCGCGAAATCAAACTTATAAAAGATGTGAAAAAAAAACAACCCTCTTTTTTTTTCTTTGTAACATCCCTCCTCTTCTTTGGCACTACTTTAAAACTGAATTCAACTAATAATTTGAATGGTGCAAATTACCTTCAAATGTTGCAACAACAAATAACATCAGCTCTCAGACAAACTGAACAAGATACAAATCAAATTTGATTTCACCACTATGGCTGTTCGACGCATATAGGACACCATACCTAATATTTAAGTTATCTCAAATAGTGGGACTTATTATTATGGGATATCCAGCCAGATCTCCAGATCTCAGTCTTTTGGACAGTCTTTTTGAGAAAGGACATGCCATAAAATTAATGTATAATAATTGTATCAGATTATTATTTCGTTTTCGGATTATTTAGCAAAATACCCAACTATATAAAGTAAAAAACACTACAAGGCTAATCGTGAACAGCCTTGACACAGTGAAACAGTGAAGTAGACTGTGAAAGTAGCAATCTGAATTTGCCTAATATTTTTATTTACAATCAGTTGTCATATTTCAAGTGAATTTAAAAAATACCAGTATTACGGAATAAATCCGGGAAAGAATTTTTAATACCCCGTATCTTCAAAACGAAATGTTTTTGTCCGTATATTTACAGGAGCATTAGTTTCTTATTTTCTTAAATTTAACGGTCGATTTTTTACCACATAATTACAAAAGATAGAACTTACTTTTAATTATACTGCATAAATGCCAACATGTACAGGGTCCTCAAAATAGAGGGACAAACTTGCAAAACTTTGATCTGTTAAGTCGCTTATTTTAAATGGAACATATTGTATTTTATTATCTGGTTCGCTCCCTTTTTGTATCCTCTTTCGATAAATATTACATTTCTTTATTTAAATATTACATTACATTGATTCATCTTTTAGCAATGTTAATAATTTACGTGATATGCCTCGAAAACCGTACATTTTAGGGATAGGGAATATTAGGATGTGTCAAAAGGGGTAAAAAAAGGGAGCGAAGGAAACAATAAAACACAGTATGTTCCATTTAAAATAAGCGACTTCGTGACGGACAAAGTTTTTCAAGTTTGTCCCTCTATTTTGAGGACCCTATACATTTTGACATTTATGCAGTATAATTAAAAGTAAGCACTATCTTTCGCAATTATGTGGTAAAAAAATCAAGAGTTAAATTTAACCACAGTGACAGATATTACTTACGTACGTAATTCATTTTTTTTCCTTAAAATTGATATATCTCGAAAACCGTTCATTTTAGAGATATGTAATGGTTATTAGATTAACTTTAAATTGATGAGCAGAAACCAATTATGGCAAAAAAATATAGCATCCCATTTAAAATAACGAAGTTACTGCCTACTTCCTGTATAAACGGAAGTGCCAGAAAATCGCCATTATTTTAGATGTGTAGATCATCCCCGAAAACCCCCAAATTCAAATTTTCAGCTTCATATTATTTTTAATTCTCCCAAAACGGTTAATAGGCCACTCACCGTGAAACACCCTGTATATTACAGTATATATTTCAAAAAGAATAGCATACAAAGAATAAAGAAAATGAGTACACTATCAATTTTCACATTTAAATTGTGTGTTTTCAATAGATTCTTGTTCAATTCAGTTCCTTTAAAACTAGTTTATTTTAAATGCAGTTAACAAAACGCGCCCATATGGTCCCAATCGTCAAGTAAAAACTCCACATCGGCTCTTAGTATTAGCCCCTCTGCCGCCGAAAATACATCTCATAAATATATTATGACCACAGATAAATGTATGTATATTTAGTGTTTTAATTTTCGTCCGAGGCCTGAACCTTCAGGTTGTACCAAGTGATTCAAATATTTTATGCATTTATTGAAAATAGTGTCTCTTTAAAAAACAAAATCGATCTGTCCGAGATTTATTTATAAAATCGTTCCTAAAAATAAATATCAAATTTGTTCCTTTCATTGTGAAAACATTGAAATAAATTTGACCTCAAGTTGGCTGTGGAACTTATGTCGCTGACATATACATAAACAGATTTGTGAGAGTTTGAGCCATTGACAATTTGGTGTAGCGGTTGAGCTTTTGTCTTTAAATCTAATGGTCTGGGTTCAAATCCCAGCAACTTCATCTTTTGTACAGTGTAGAACAGCCAAATGGAATAAATTCAGTAGCTCCATTATTACGCATTTTTTTAAATCCTGAGATACGTCAATTCCTAATTCTAAAATGACATCTTGTGACGTAAAAATGTCATCCCTAAATTCAACCCCTTCAGGTGACAGCAACAACCCGTAAATTTTCAAACTGGAAGTAGGGGCTTGTGATACTTCATTTGAAAGGTCTTTTCAGTCTCTATTCAAAACTGATAGATTTTAAATTTGATTGTAGAAATTAACAAGAAAAAAAAGTTTCTCCAGCGTAGGAAATTCGTTACATTAAAATAAAAAACGAATCATTTTTAATGCAGCAGATGTTCAAAATGCATGCCTCCAGCATCTTGGCAGCGCCCTAGACGTAAATAGAAATATCTTCTAACGTTAGTTAACATCTGCGGGATAATCGATCTAATTGCAAGTGTTATTGCAAGTGTTTTGTAGACCATACTTTTTACATATCCCCATAGATAGAAGTCTAGCGGCGTGAGATCAGGTTATCGTGCAGGCCATTCTACAGAACCATGTCTCCCTATCCAGCGATTTCGAAAGATCGTGTGGAGATATTGCCGGACATTGACTTCGTAATGTGCTGGTGCACCATCCTGCTGGAACCATATTGCATTACCTGGAAGTTGTGGGTTTCCTTCAGCTGGATACAAACTTGCCATCGTCGGTACAACATTATTTTGGAGCAGAGGTAAATAAGTTTCTGCATTCAAATTGCCGTCAATGAAGAAGGAAACAATGATATTTTCTCCAATTATTCCTGCCCAAACATTAACTTTCTCAGGGTTTTGCGTGTGTAGTTCCTTCATCCAGTGAGGATTTTCTCTCGACCAGTAACGACAATTTTGGCGATTAACATGGCCGTGAAGTGTAAATGTAGATTCATCCGAAATGATGGAGCTACTGAATTTATTCCATTTTGCTGTTCCAGACTGTATATTTTTAGCAGGCTTCTGTAAACAGTAATTTTAAAAAATATAATGAAGAATTATGGAAATATAAGGTTAGTTTTTTTTATGCAAATTCATATTTGTAATTTTGTTTACTAAATAAAGCCACATCATTGCATAAAAACAATATAAAGTTCTATGAAAATTGCATATCATTTAAATATACAAAAAACATTAAAAGCATAAACATTTAAATATACAAATACGGTTAGTTCCAAGGTTCAATACTTTATCCCAAAGGTACTTTCATAAATTTTAAAATCATTCATAAATTAATGTATGTGAAAATTATTAATACGTCTAAGAAAAGTAATGTAACAAAATATATCAAAAGCCATGCTTCGTGTAGCAACCACGATAACGATGAGAGTATATTCTTCTATCACGTAACCTTTGTGGCAAGTGATATTCCATTACATAAATTAAAAAAACCCACACTAGGCCAATTTCTAGGACAATGTATGGACCGGAATCTGCCTTATATCCTACTGCAAAAAAGTTATGTCACTTTAAAGACGCGTGGTGAGCTTTAGGTGGTGCCTTCTATTAGTTATGTCAAAAATGTGAACGAATTTAAATTAATTAACTAAAAAAAAACTTACGCATCTATAATTTCATGCCATTGTCTCAATTAATTCAGAAACTATAGAGAAAATTCGAAAACTAAGTTAAAATATTGACATCCTGTAACTTTGTTATCATCAACAATTATACTAAGGTAGGTTTAACTAGTGTTTCCTCTCAAGAATTAGTTATTGCACTATGCACCATTACTTATGATTCACCCTGTATAATGGCCGAGTTTTCACAAAAAACGTTCAGTGGAAAAGGCTAACAAAATTATGAAAAAAAACGGCAGGCTTTTTTTGACCACCGAGTATATTGTGTCTAGGGGATCTCCTAAATTTAGACAAGACACCGAAATACCGTCGTCCGCAGGCGGACCAGACGCTGGCCCGTCGGGGTCGAAGAGATATGAGGGTGAGGACGAAAATAGCACCTTCGTGGAGGCGCGAACACCAGAGGGTGGTGCGTATATGCAGACGCTCTGAAGTCATGACCTTGTCTGGTGCCTCTCTGGCTTCGGCTGCTTTTGTTTGGGTTTTGGCGTATTTTTATTTTCTCCTCGTCGAGGAAGTGAAACTATTTCCAGTTGTTAAATCGCTTTATTAAGCCGGATAGCGTACGACATGCAGGGCGTTTAGGAAAGAAACAGCATAAATGATACCGGTAAATTGTCGGTTTGAAGGTAAAACTCATTAATTTATAACTAGAGATCGTCGAGCGCGGAGTGTAACAGGACCGTAATCAGTTAACGAATGAAAATAATTAATATGTTTATTAATACTTTTACCAAATAGTATGGTTGAGTCAAGGATAAAATACCTATATAAATTAAGATAACACGTAACAATGGCAACATTTACCCGACAAACGTCAGTGTTGAGGCAAGGTTCCCATGGCAGATTGGGGTGGCTATCACTAGCAGTATCACTCTTTAACGCACCAATTAAAAAAATTAGCTACTGAACGCCCGCAAGCATCGGTAGCTTCGTCTATAATAAAATACATGAAATTTTCCGCAATGTCTTCGTGTATTGATGTCACTACATTGTTGTAAACCCGATCGACATATGCAAGTCTTAACGAACTTTCATGAGGAATTTTTCGGTCCATATATTTTTCTAAAAACGTACGTAACTTGGGGTTCTCTAGTTTGTTTAATGGAATATTGCTTGCAACAAAGGCTTCTGTAAGTTCATAGAAAAATACGGAGTCGTCGGCGCTGGACGAGGCATGGCTTTTCAGATGTCTTGTTACTTTAGTGTTAGCTGAAGTATTTATAATGCGTTCACACACAGTACAAAAAAGGTCATTTCCTTGAATACGTATGTCCCTAAAACCCTCGGGATCACTGTCAAAACACGTTTGAAATATTTTCCGTCTATTTCTTTTCATCTTTGGCATTATACCTCACTTTATTCACTTCTCCCCCTCAACTAATAATTATTAATATTTACAAGTTATTTAAATTAAAAAAAAACACGGCGAATACGTAAAAACGAAATGTATCAACGCGATACAATAGCGGCGACTGTCTGTTACAGCGTGCCATAAATAACTAACATTGCTAGCGCAGTTTTCGTAATGCAAGTCAGCTGTGAAGGGCAGGACATGCCAATGAGTCAATGGCAGGACATGCCCAGTGTCGGCCCTGTGACATTTGCGCTTGGTAATACGTAATAATATTTAATAATGTACTATGATGCAACATAGTTTCTGTGAACATATTAACATTTTCATTCGTAAACTGACTACGGGCCTGTTACACTCCGCGCTCGCACCAACTCTAATTATAACAAACCAATTGTAAGCAAACTGTAATCGTCTAACAAAAGACGGGAAAAGTTGCAATAATGTGGATAATAGGGTAATCTGAAAGTAGAATTAAGGATTGTAAACTTCTTGAAATAACGATTTCGTCTCTTATTTTTAGAAAATCGCAGGTTTTTTAAGAAATGGCTTGCTGTTAGTTAATGAGTTTTATTTTTAAACCGACGTGGCAGGTCGAAGAACTTCGACCGAAATATTTTACCAGAAACCAGAGAACACCATTTCGAAGGTTTTCGACACCTTTAAATCCGAATTTTACCTCAGAATTGCTCTGATGGCTCATGACTTCGAGACATTCTAACCTAAAAATGCAAAAATCAGGGTTTTTCGGTATATTTGAGGTTATGTCACAACACTAGGTAATTATTTTTTACAAAATCATATACGGATTCTGAAAGAGCTCTCTTGCCCTTCAAAATCCATTTTGACTTATCCTGATATCTTTTGTTTTCTTCGAGAAATAGCATTTTGAAATAGTTATAAACAAACAAACTGAAGAAAAAAAGCGTTTTTTACGAAAAAAATAATTATTTGCTGTGTTTTTCGTTCAATCCTCAATAAATTAAAAAACTATACCATCAAATTCGTAAACAGCGCCCTCAATAACCTCTGAGTACAATATTTTTTAAATAAAACAGAAAATTTCAATGAACATCATTTAGTCCACCATCTTGGGTCAGCCATTTGGAAATTTACAAAAAAAAAAAACCGTCGATAACCCGTATATGTAACTTTTCAAAGTGTCCTACAGAATCTTAAAAATTGCCAAGGCAGCATACAAGGTAGAACAGAAAATTGGAATAAATTCAGTATCTCAATTATTGTTCATATTTCCAAAAAAAAATCCGAGACACGTCAATTTGAAATTCTGAAATGACATTCTGCAATAAAATAATTTCAATTCAAATTCAACCCCCTTCGAACGACAGTTGCAACCACAACCACAACCAAATTTTTACATTGTGAGAAGGGGTTTGTGATACCTCCTTTGAAATAACTTTTCTCTCCCTATTCCAAAATGCAATGAATATAAACTTTATTATTAAAATTACACAGGCCCACAAAAAAATAATTTTGTTTTGACTATGGATAAGAACATAGTTTTTCTCTGTATTTTTTGACGCTGAATCCAAATCCGGTGTCTGTTTAACTGGAGCACGTCAGAATCAAGGTCATTTCAAGGTCAAATCGCGAAATAAATGAAAAAATTAAAAGTGAATAAACTCATATATCTTTCTGGGGTCGCTGATTTCAAATCCAGTGTCCGTTTAGTGGCAGTGGTCAGCATCTCCAGCATCCTTTGGGGCAGCAGGCATTCTATATGCACGCACATGCACACAGTCACGCACACATGCATTTACATACGCACCCAAGTACACACTCACGCATACACGCTTTTATACACACGCGTGCATCAGCGCACACACGCAAAAGTGTGTGTCTGGTTGAAGGAGTCTAAACACGTTTATTCAATGATTCACTCACTGATTTTCAGTAAGATGATTACTATGTAGTTAGACGATATTCAGTAAGGTGGCTACGAGAATTGGTATCAACTCATCTAATATACAGGATACTCGGACTTAGATATATTTTACCTTAACAAATAATAGCAATACAT